CCCCCCCCCCCCCCCCCCTCGACGTTTCGTTTCGATGCCAGATGCCAACCCCTTTTTGCGCAGCCCTGGACGACCTGGAAATAGCACACTCAACGCGCCATTCGCATCTAGAAGGCGACAAGAAGCATCTACGCGAGACAAACCTTGCTACCGCACTGCCAGACGCGTCCCGACCGGCCGCCGTGGGGGAGCCCTCTGGTTGTCGGCTGTCACGATGGCGGCCGTCTCGACGTTGCGAGATTCTGCATGTCGTCTCGAGTCATGATTTGAGGGCGGCCTTGGTTTGCTGCTCGTGCCGACTTGGCCAGGAGCTCGGCTTCCTCTTCGTCCTCCATCTATACTGTTGAGGGAGACGGGTAGTACGAGGCCGAGCAGGGCGGAAGCATCCAAGTCGTGGGCGCGGCCCTGCGCGTCCAAAAGACATTCCGCAAGGCGCGGGCGGGCCGGATGTTTCGTTTCGGGACGAATCCGGGGACTGCCAAACCCCACGTAGCAATTGTGACCCCCTGTGCCTGGCTTGGCCGTCCGAACCCCCCACCCGAAATAGCAGCGCATGAATAGCCAGCCGTCCAAGTCCACCATGGTGGTGTGCCTGCTTTGGGCAAAACGCAGTCTGTGTATGGCTGCGTATGGACAGAAATGGTGCTCGCCGTGATCAAGACTAGACTTGACTTTGGTATAAGAGAGAGGGCATCTGGCAGCATCCATCTCGACCAGAAGAAAGCCTCCATCATCATCCCATTCCATCAACCATCATCTCATCTACATCCTCATCTATATCATCCTCTACTCTCACATCATCTACTCTCACATCCATCTACAACCACATCCACCACACTCCATCGACTGCCATCTACTCCAGCAACAAACAGTCAGCCTCCAGGGAAAAACCCTAGAGCCAACTTCACCAACACCAACAACAAACAAACCCCGACCCCAACCGCCACAATGAAGTTCTCCAGCACCCTCATCTTCGCCACCCTGGCCCTGGCCGCCCCGACCCCCATCAGCATCCAGAACGCCGCTCTCGCCGCCCGGGCCGTCGTCGTCGAGTCCCCGGCCCACTTTGTCACCAGCGGCGGCGATGAGCTCGCCCAGCGCGACCTGACCGCTACCGCCACCGCCGCCGAGATCTACCGCCGCGATCCCGAGCCGTCCAAGTTCGGCAGGTTCCTCAAGGGCGCCTTCAAGAAGCTCGGCAAGTTCGCCATCAGCACCCTCAAGAGCAAGTTCGGTGGTGGCGGCGCGGCTGCCGCCGCCGGTGGTGGCGCCGCCGCGGCTGCTGGTGGCGCGGCTGCCGGTGGCGCGGATGCTGGTGGCGCGGATGCTGGTGGTGGTGAGGCCTCCGAGTAGACGAGACAATGTCTCGTTTATTCCCTTTTCCAGTCTTTTTCTTGTCCCTTTTTTGTTTTTGTTTTTGCATCTAGCGCCGGTGGGTATTCTTCATGATGGGGCCGTCGCTCAGGGGAGAGCGGGTGGCATTTGTTTGGCTTACATTTTTGGGTTTTGATAACTCCTGTACTGATTTACCCTTTATATCTTTACCAATGTCTTTTTTTTCTTCTCTTATTAGTCTTGTACTTTAGCCAGGTTGTTAGAAGGGGTCTGTTTTGTTGGTCTTTTGTACTCTACGTTGTTTTATGCTCCTGTTCAATTTCATCCCACAAGCCCTTTGAATCCTCTTGAATAGTGAAGTGTCATCAAACGCTCAAGCCTGCCAATATTGTTAGTACTACCAGACAGGATCTGTTCCAACGGCTTGAATATCGCAGGTTGATCTATATTGGGCGGTGCGAGGATTGGGCAGGCTGTAACGGCTAATACAAAGCAGTTCCGTTCACGGAACGGGATACCAAGGTGCACTTCTTCGCTAGCTATTCATTGATGCACCCCTTGGTTTGCCCAACCGCCCCAGCACAGGGTAAAATGGACGAGGGCGAGATGCTTAATCAGATAATAGACATGGAAAATATACCAACGGCTGCTACGCCATGCTTCGCAATAAATCCGTACTATTCTAGGACCAAAGTAGCAAAATCTCGTGTCTAAATCGTTTCGAGTCCGCAATAGAAAACACGCAGTCTCGACATTAAGCACTGAAAGGAAGCCTCGTACCATTCCGTAGGCCCGCCGTGTTGCTAGCTGGGCTGAGCTTGGTGATGAGTAGGACAAAGTCGGCCGCCTTGCCGGCGTCGCGGTTGTAGGTGAAGTGCGGGTCGAAGAGCTGCTCGCCGCCCTTGCAGATGTCGTCGCCGTTGTGGCAAAAGATCATGGTGTCGCCCGACGGCAGGCCCGGGACGGGGGCCGAGTTGTCTACCAGGGGGTGTGAAGTGACAACGTCCGTGTGAGCAAATCTTGTTGTCCAAAAAGAAGCGGGTGAGGGCAAGGAAATGACGCACAAGGGTCCCCAAAGGTGACGGCGGCCGACACGGCCGAGATCATGCCCTGCGGCCCCAGTATCTTGGCGGCGTTGTGTACCAGCTGCCCTCCCTGGGAGTAGCCCGAGAGGATGAGCTTTGTCTGCGGGCATTTCTGCTTCACCTGGAGTACGAGATTTGCCCTGGTGATGCCGCGAAGCAGAGGCGAGTGGCGAAAAACAAAACAAGGTTAGCCAGGCCATTGGACACACACACACCACACATACACACACACGCGACCCGCCCCC